GTCCCAAGCTCCTCCTCTTATAAGGACACCGGTCACCTGGATTAGGAGCTTGAGGAACTGGGTACAGGTGCCAGGTTGACGAGGACTGGACTTATGTCAGTTGTGTCAATGTGACTGGGCCTCGAGGGGCCCGATAGTCAGACGTTACTCCAGGTGTCTCTGGATGAGATCAACATTTGACCCCTCAACAGCAGCTTGCCCTCCCCAACATGGCGGGCTTCAGTCCATCGGCGTAAGGCCTGAATGGGGTAAGGACTCAATCTCCCTTTTGGTAAGAGAGAAGTCCTCCTGCCTGCTGACCTTCAGCTTGGACAGATTCTTTCCTTGACTCCACATGACCTGAAATACCACCTCCTCTGCTCTTGAGCCTTCAGCCTTCAGGCAGGAGCCACACTGTGGGCTCTTCTTGTCTCTAGCTTGCTGGCCCCCCTGCAGCTGCTGGGTCTGGCAGCCTCCCCAGTCACACCAGCCAGTTCCTTGTTATGTCATCTATCCACCTGTCTCATCTGCTGTTTCTGGAGAGAATCTGACTAATACAGGTTTTGGTCCTGGGGATTAAAGGCCCCATATCTAAATACTAGGAGTTAGGTAGAAATACTACCAGGAATTTGTGGAGCACACAAATCAGCCCCTGACAGGCAAGCCTCCCATGGAGGCTGAGATGCCAGAGGGGCCCACTGCTGCCCTCCTTCTCCAAGCACAGGTGAGATGTAGACCCCTCCCTCTCCAGCCCTGCATGGGACATCGGATGCTGAGTCCTATCAGCTGGGCTTCTGAGGCAGCAGGCTTCATTCAACACGCGATTCTCTGCCAGCAGAGCCAGGGGTTACTTCTGGTGGCTGCTCTTCCTGAACAAGGTAGCCCTGGGCTGGAAGAATGGGCCCAGGGTGGTGGCTTTTGCTCCCAAACACCCACATGTGTCATCTGTCTCCTTGCCTATTCTAGCTTCTACAGACTACCTGGCTCATGGCCACTTTCCTGTCTGCCTCCACCATGTTTTAAAGACCCTACTGATTGCCTTGGGCCCACCTGGACCACCCAGGAAATTCCCCTGAAGTCAGGTGATTAACAACCATAATGGATCCTAGTGGATTTGTAGGCTCTGGGGATTAGGATGTGGACATCCGGGGGAGGCATGGTTCTGCATGTCACACTTGAGGGTCTTTATGGAGGCCTCAGAAAGCCCCCAGAAACCAGCAAGCCTGAGAGCAGGAAGTAGCAAAGCAGACAACTGTCCTCTGCCTTGGGGATCTCCTTCGTGTTCCTCTCTCACGCAGACCTGCTCCTCCCGCTCTTCTGTCTGCTTGGCAAAGCACAGGCCCTTCCAGCTTTTGAGCTTGCTGGGTTCACACACACAAGAAGTTCCATCTCCGAACCCCCAAGAAAGCTGACTGGCCAGCTTGGGTCTGGTAACCTCCCCGACTCCCCAGAGTTAAGGTATTGAGTAAACATGGCTGCCAGGTCCCCGTGTCTGGGTGAGGGCCGCTCCCGGTGAAGGGAGGGCAGGGTGATTACCAGCCCTCAAGCAGGGCTCACAGGTGGCAAAAATACACTGTGCCTGTGCAGAGGAAGATGAGGGGAGGAAGTGACATGGATAAGTAAGAAAAGTCCCCTTTCTCTCTGCTGGCAGCTCGGTGACTCAGCCTGTCTCAAAAGAAAAAAATTTTTTGGTACCGTGGATTGAACTCGGGTCCTTGTGCTTGCAAGGCAGGTGGCGGAGCCACTGAGCTAAACCCCCCGCTCTAAAACAGCTTTTAAAAGGGCCCGAATGTAGTTCAGTGTGAAGGCCTGGGTTCAACCCCAGGGGCTGTGCTTTGGGAAGACAGCACTGGAGCTGTCACTGCTGTGACTGGGGCTCTGCTGGCTCAGCCGCGTTCACTTCGGTGTTCTGGGTCCACAATGCGCAACGAGGCCTTCATGAGCACAGGGCACCTGGACCCACACAGCCACGTCCAAGCCCCAGGTTCTGCAGTTCACCTCTTTTTTTTTTTTTCTTTTGGTACCAGGGATCGAACTCGGTCCTTGTGCTTGCGCAGCAGGTGGCGAAACCACTGAACTAAATCCCCCGCCCTGTTCATCCCTTTTTGAGTGCTATCTTGCTTGGTTTTGGTTTTTGTTATTTTTTATTAGGGCCCTGAAAAACAGACTGTTAGCTACTTTTATGCATTAAATGTCAAAGGCATAAAAGCAATTTTGTTTTTAAACAGTGGCTTTGGATTCATTCTGTAGCGATTTTGAACTAGGTTCTCTTAAAGTGAAGCCTGTCTTTGGGAAACGCTGCACTCCCCCGCTCTGGCGGTGGCAGACACCTGTGGCAGGGCAGGCCATGGTCGCTGGCTCGCCCTGTCAGGCTGCCCCCCAAGGGCCCAAGGCTGCAGGGGAGGAGCAAGGGCACCAGGCATGGTACATCCCTGAGGCCCAGCCCCACCACCGAGGGCAGACCAGAGACATGCTGTCACTACAGTTCCCATAGGCACGAGACATCTGGCCAGCGGGGCAGGCCTGCCAGAGCCTAGGGGGCAGGAATACCCTTCCTCAGAGACCAAGCTGAGAACTTAGGCAGGCTGGGTGGAGGAGCCTGAGGAGCCAACACTGCACCGGGCAAGCAGGGTGCACCAGTCCAGCATGGCCAGGGCAGGACCATGCCCTGTGTCCAACCTGCTGCCCGAGAGTTGCACACACCCATAAGAAATATTTTTTAAAATTTATTTTTAAAATAAATTTCATTTTATCCCACTCCCCCAAGCCCCCTCCCCTATGTACAAAAGCTGTTTCCATTTTTTCTATTTCACTTTTTTTCTTGTCCCTTCCTTTCTTTCTCCTTCCCTCCTCCCTTGAATAAGAAGTATTTTTTAAAAGGAGGTTTAATTCGCTACATGCATGAACAATATATATATTGGTACTGGGGATCGAACTCAGGACCTTGCACTTGCAAAGCAGGTGGCAGAACCACCGAGCTAAATCCCCAGCCCTATATTTTATCTTTTACATGCACCTCAAGACACTTCCTCTTCTATCACTACAGCAGAGGCGAGCGGGATGTGTCCAGCCCGCGGGTCGAAGGCTGGACAGCAGGTCGGCCTCACAGGCCTTAGGAAGGGCTCCAGCTGCAGTGGGAAGGCTGCAGGGCTGTTAGAACCAGAGGCCAGAAGACTCCGCCAGCTCAGATGCCAGCGCCAGGTCCCTTCGAGAGCAAACCCTGAGGACAGACCCTTGGAGAGTGCCGGAGGGACGACAGATGGACTGCACAGGCATCACAGCGGTGGCAGCCAGACGCTCGCTGCCTGGTGACTCAATCCCCGACAAGAGTGGTGGCATCTGGGCAGCCGGCCAGGGACCTCGCTTCACAGTCATCGCCCGGCAATGATGGTGCTGACCCAGGGGTGCTGGCCCCCGGCACCCTTCCCACCTGCACGCAGTCAGGCAGCGCAGGCCTGGCTCTCGATCACACCAGCCTGCCCTGCTGGGAAGGGAGCCCAGCAGGAGTGGGCGCGGACCGCGCTTCAGGGACTACCAGGCGCCAGCAGCGTGGAAGCAGGCCTGGAAGAAAAGCCAGGGAGCTACAAGCGCAAGCAGGGCGAGGTTGGCAAGGAACCCCAGGCGCAGAGGGCGCTGGGGGAGAACGGGGGCGTTTCCAGGAAGCCTAGAGGGCCGGGTGAGGGGTAGGGTGCCGCACCAGACCCTCCAGTGGACACTAGCCAGTTAGTTCAGCAACGCTTTTCAGCAAGAATCCAGTGAGACGGCGGTATTCTGCTCTGGGGATGCAGAGGTAAATAGTCACGGCCCCTGACTTTGCAAATGGAAAACAAACAGGCCAAGCTGAAAACAGCAGAGTGAAGAAGGGCCGTGCAGAAAGGGGGCCAGGGAGCACAGAGGAGGGAGACCGAGCATCGCCCGGGGGACAACAGGACGCTCCACCTGCCGACCCTGAGGGGCAGGTGTGGGGCAGACACCTGGCGGGGGGCAGGTCCCAGGTGAAGGCCCAGCAAACCGGGTGCCCTGGGGATCAGAGCCACTCGCAGAGGGGTCGCCAAGCCCCTCTCCCGAGGGCAACACCCAACTGGACCACACACCCAACAGCCCACGCCGCCACAGCTGCCACACAGGGCAGACACAGCGGGAGCTGAGCGGCGGAGGGACTATCGTGGTTCTCCACGTCCCCTAGAAGCGGAATGCCTAGTAACTGTGCAGCTTTTGTTTTGTGTTAAAGATGAAAGATTAAACTTCAGGCTCTAGTTGCGCCAACAAACTCGCTAACAGTGGTGAACCACACACTCGTCAGCCTGTGCGGGGAAGGGCCATGGAGGGAGAAGCGCGCAGGAAGAGTGCGGAGGCCGCAGTCTCGTCCGGCACTGAGCAGGATGGGTGAAGCTGCGGGTTTGTCATTCCGTCCACACGGGCTCCCTCGGCCCTGACGGCCCGTGCAAGTGCACATGCAGAGGGGACAGAGATGCGTGAGGGCGCCGCACGAGTCGCCCGCCTCTGCTGTCCGCGCTCAGGCCCTTGGGGATGTGTGCGAGGCGAGCCCGCTTCCTGCCGCCGGAGCCGCATGGCCTCCCTGCCTAGAGCTCCCGCCCAGGACACGGCAACCCCTCACTGTATCCACGAGCGCCACCACCAGGGACATCGAGGCAGAGCAGGCGGCACAGGCCCTTGGTCTCGGACCCAGGGGTCTCCAGGCTTCTGCCAGCACCCGGGAAACCCTGGCGGCAAGAAGTGTTCGTGCGCAAGGAAGGCAAATCCCCGGGACCCTGTGTTCCTGCCTCACCCTTCCGAGACGCGGTAAACTCTCACAACTCAACATTCTTGCTGAATTTACTTGAGAAATGTGGATTATTAAAACGCTGGCTATAACATGGTAACTGTTTGTACACAACGATCTTAAAGCCTCCTTTACAGTTTCGCAACAGGCATTTTCTAAATGGGCAGTAACCCTAAGATAGAATACTGAAGGGGACCACAAAAATCTAAAAAGGAAACAAAAACTAAGGAAACTGAAATAACCTGGGTGAGAAACCATTTTTCCAAAACAAAGAATCGTTTTTAATTCAGGATTTTGCATGATTTGCGCTGGATACCATCTGAAGTAAACATGGATGATTCATACGCTGTAAGATGTTTGCACTTAAACAGTCTCTAAGCCAAGACCTGCGGCTCAGTGTGGAAGGGACTCTCCAAGGAGCAGAAGTGGCCTCCAAGCTTCCCGAACCACTTGTCCTCAAACCCTTCCACCGAGGCAGCGACCAAGCCGGCCAGGGCTGCAGAGCCAGCACCCTGCACCTCTGCACGAACTTCCTCTTTCATTTTTTCTGGGACGATATCTTCTCCCATGACCTGCAGCAGGAGGAAAAAAACTGTCCCAGAAAAAGAGGCAACAGACCCAAGCATGATGGTGCACACCTGTAATCCCAACACCAGGGCAGCTGAGGCAGGAGGGGCTGCAAGTTCAAGGCCCAGCCTGAGCAACTTAGTAAGACCCTCTCTGAAAGTAAAAACATTGGAGAGGCTGCAGATACAGCTCAGGAGTTCAGCTCTTGTCTCATACACGTGCCGCTCCCCGACAACACACACATCCCCAGCACCGATCATCCCCCAGTACCACACATGCACAGAAACAGTGTTGTCCAAAGGGCACATATGCAAACTGCCCTGTGTTTCCTCTTTCCTGCTGCCAAGTGAAAGAAAACGAAAAGTGGGGCTGGGGATTTAGCTCAGTGGCACCGCACCTGTTTTGTAAGCGCAAGGTCCCCAGTTCGATCCCTGGTATCGCAAAAAAAAAAAAGAAAACGAAAAGTGAAATGAATGGACACTTCTCAGAAGTACAGATGGCCAACAGACCCATGAAGAGATGTCCAGCATCGCCGGCCATGAGATGCAAATTAAAACCACAACGAGCCTCCATCTCACCCCAGAGAGAACGGCCATCATCAAGAAACCAAGGGATGGGGATGTAGCTCAGTGGTCCTGCTGCCTGCCTCACAAGCGCAAGGACCCGAGTTCAATCCCTGGTACCAAAAAAAAAAAAAAGAAATCAAATAATCAATGTTGGCCAGGCCACAGGATAAAAGGAGCCCTACTACATCATTGGTGAGAGTGTGAACGGGTATAACCACTGTGGAAGCCAGTATGGAGATTCCTCTAAAAACTAAAAGCAGAAATTCCATTCAATACAGATATTCTCCTCCTAGGTATCTTCCCAAGAGTTAAAGGCACCATATTACAGTGATCCATGCACACTCATGTGTATAACAGCACAATTCATAATAGAAAGAGGCCTATATGTTCACTGATAGATGGATAAAGAAAATGTGGTATTAATACAATGGAGTACTACTCTGCCATAAAGAAGGATAAACTTGAGTCAACCATAGGAAAATGGATGCACCTTAAGACCATGATGTTATATGAAATAAATCAGACACACAAGCTTAAATATAGCATGGTTTCTCTAATATGAGAAACCCAAATATAAATAAACAGCAAAATAAAGGATAGACACTAGGGAGTGAGGAGAGATCTTTTTCCACTAAGAAGGGGGTGGAGAGACAGAGAGAAGGGAAGGGAGGCGTGGGGCGCGGAAGGAGAAGAGCGAGGCGTGCTGTGCACACCGCCAGCTCCCCACAAGGAACATGCACAGCACGGCCTACAAACACGCACTAGGAAACACAGCAAACACATGAGCCGCTCTGCGGTGAGGATGAAGATGGTGCAGCTGCTCCTCTCGGAAGAGCTGGGCCACTCCGCACGATGTTCACCAACCCAGCAGCACAGGATGCTGCGAGCGCACACAAAGGAACCTGTGTGCACCCCGATGCTGGTTCTCACTTGTGCGTCCACGGCACCAGCACTCTGCGGCCCGATGGTGGACACAGCCCCGGCGCTATCAGCTGACGAACAGGCACACAGTGTGGTCTGCCGGCAGTGGAGTGCTAGTCAGCACCAAAAGGGCCACACACAGAGACACCTGGCAAACGACATCAGTGGGTCCCAAAGAACCAGTCACAACAGGCGCTCCTGTATGGTCCCAGTTGCACGACATGTCCAGGCCAGTGAATCCACAGAGGAAGGAGGTAGTGGTTATCAGGGCTCGGAAGTGGGAGGAATGGAAGAGTGGACCAACTGGTACAGGTCGATGAAAATGGTCAAAACCTAGATTCCAGACAGTCATGGCTACATGGCTATGAGTAGGTTAAAAAGACTGACTTGTACGCTTTCTATAAATACTTACTTAAAAAACAAAAGAATCCCTGCAGTCATCCAGCCTCAGGGCAGAGTGGGGCTGCACTCGCCAGGGGCCCAGCTCCGACTCCCCACAGGTTCCCAAGAAGCCAAGGCAGCGAGCAATCAAACAACAAGCACGGGAGCTGGGCACACCCTTCCTGGCCCAGAAAGACTCCAGTCCCTCAAAGCCAAAGCAGTCTCGGGGACCCAAGTGGCATGTTTACCCAGTGAGGGCAGGGCCAGGCCCCGAGGGACACAGAGCCAAGTGCCCCAAGTCCTCACAAGGTGGGCCCCAGAGGCCTGTGCCTGAACCTGCCAAGCCATTGGCCCACCTCTCCCACTTCAGTCCCTGCACACCATTTGGTGCGAATGGTTATGGGATCTCCTTGCCGGGAGGCGGCAGAGGGAATCTGTTAGTCACACGAGTTTGGACGGCTTTCTAAGGTACCTGCAAACCAGGAGAAGCGCAAAAAGAAAGTTTCTGCTGCATTTGAATCTTTACAGATCACTTGTTTTAGGAAATTGCCAATGAGATGTACAGAATTTACTAAGTCACAGTGCTCCATCAGTTTGAAGATGCTTTTTCTTCTCTTTTTTTTTTTTTGGTACTAGGAATCGAACTCAGGACCTTGAGCTTGCGAGGCAGGAGGCAGGCAGAGGAACCACTGAGCTAAATCCCTGGCCCGAAGACCCTTGCTTTTGTATTTCAAGTTCTCTAAAATCAAGGTGCAGGGTCTGGGGATTTAGCTCAGTGGTGCCACGCCTGCCTTTGTTTGATCCCCTGCACCACAAATCAATCAATCAATTAATCAGTCAATCAAATCACAGTGCATGTCAGAGCGGCTAGCACGTCACGGCTTAAAGAGCATCTCACCTTTCTTTGAGCGCACATCAAATGGTGTCTTACAACTGACGCCTTCTTGGATTTAGTAAAATGCAGTATTTTAGAATGTTGGGGAAAACACCAAAAAGTCTTTCTTAGAAAGTAAACAACTGAATAACAGTAATAGCCAAACAAATTCCAAAAAGAGGAATAAACAAGTACAATATTCATAGGTGTCCAAAAAATCTGCCAAAACATTTGGTTATATAAAAATTTAAAACTTCCATAGTGTTAAAAAAATAATACTTGGGAGAATACTGAAATATTAAAAGTAAGTCTAATATGGAGAAGGCTCCTAAAAATTACTAAGAAAAACAGAAATGAATAAAGAAAAAAAACCATTTCACAAAATACAAAGGGCCAAAAACATGAAAAAATTATTCCACTTAAGTCACCAAAGAAATAAGCAATACTAAAAATATAATCTTTTTATCTATAAAATTGCAAATTTAAATAAGAAATAAATTGAACTATATGAGACTGCTGTTTTTATAGGTTAAAACAACTGAATACAGACAATTTTAAATGGCTTGACCTAATAGCTAAGATTGGGATGGGAAACCCAATGCTCTCTCTCATAGAGCGAGAGGACAGACAAAGTGAACCAACTTTTTGAATGACAATTTGGAAACATGCTTTAAGTCTTTAAAATGTACATATATTTTAATTCAATGATCCCACTTCCAGTCATCTAAAAGGCACAAACATATACACTGTTGATTTTTCAAGGACTTATTAAAATAGGTACTAAACATTTATGATGTGTTCAACATGTGAAAAAAGCTAATAAATTAGTTAATCTAAAAAACTGGACTATTGGGCAGGGGATTTAGCTCAGTGGTTCTGGCGCCTGCCTCGAAAGCACAAGGTCCTGAGTTCAATCCCCGGTACCAAAACAAAAAAACAACACAAAAACTGGACTATCATCCAACCAGTAAAAATTATGCACTCAAAGAGTATTTAAGGGTATAGGGTCATGCCCATGTCACAGCATTAAATATCATAAGACTATAAAATAATGTGTGGTGCAGCAGTTCCTAAGCTGCAGTTTCACCCCTAGGTACATGCCGAAAAACTTAAAAACAGAGACTCCAACATACATGCATGCTATCCTTCAAAGCAGCATTATTTACACTATCCGAACAGTGGAGACAACCTGTGTCATCAACAGGTAAATGAATAAACAAAATGTGACTATATATATACAGTAGGTGAATACTGTTCTGCTACAAAAAGGAATGAAGTTTTGAGAAATGTTACTATATGGACGAATCTTGAAATTAATATATTAAGTAAAATAATAAAATAAGCCAGCCACAAAAGGTCAAATACTGAATGCTTCTACTTTTTTTTTTGACACAGGGTCTTGCTATGTAGTTCAGGCTGGCCTCAAACTTGTGGAGATCCTCCTGCTTCAACCTCCCAAGTGCTGGGATTATAGGTGTGCACCACCAGGCCCAGCCACTTATTTTAAGTATCAAAAATAGGCAAATTTATAAAGAGAAAGAGCTCAGAGGATCCCTGGAGTGGCAGGAGGAGGGAATGGAAGGTGCTACTTGATGGATGTAGCTCTGTTTGGGTGACGAAGACTGGAAAGACCATGGTGATGGTGGGGTCGGTGCAGCACGTTAGACCGAGTATGGAGCGGCAAACAGGACATCCACATGTACTACAGAATGCTCCATAACAGTAAGTGTGTATACTCGGAGTAAAACAGAGGGAGAAGGGAAACTTATAAAAGTGACATAGAAAACAAAAGGACAAAATTAAAGTACATGGAAGAAATAAGGAGAGAAACAGCAGTGAAGCCTCTGAGAAGGGAAGAGGGATTTAAAAGTGAACAGCCCACAGCTGCAACGCTGTAGGAAGAAACGGGAAGAGAGACCAGGAAAAGGAGCAAGTGAACCTCTGAGACGAGCCTGGTGAGAAAGACAGGAAAAGCGCCTACGGTGGGCAGAGTTACAAAGGCCAAGGAGCCGGCCAGGAAAGCTGGATGGAGGAGCAGGGACGACCCGAGGATGCAGCCCCGAGGGAGAGGGGCCGGGCCAGGGGGGTGGGGCCTCTGCTCTGGAGAGTGACGTCAGGACAGGGGCACAGTCACTCCCAGGGAAAGTCCTTCAGCTGCCCAGCTTCAGCCGTGTACTGAAGGAAGCGGCATGAAGAGCTTAAAACCTCTATAACGACATCTTGACAGGTAAATAAATCTCAATTGCATATGTATCTCCAGAAGACATGTTTTCAACACATACTTTACAAAAGCCAGCTTTTTTTTCTTGGTACTGGGGAACTCAGGTCCTTGCGCTTGCGCAGCAGGCAGTGAAACCACTGAGCTACATCCCCGGCCCAAAAATCCCGCTTTTAAAAAAAGCTACTAAAGGTTTTAAATGGCACTTGCATTTCTCCACAGCCACGAGAGCCAGAGCCAGAGCCAGAGCCAGAGCCTCGAGCAGGCGAAGCAGAGGAAGCCGGAGGCCAGCGCCCCCAGCTGCAGCCAGCTCCGCCTCCTCAGACCTGACTGGGCCACGGCCCTGCGCCTCAGGTCTGGCCCCGCGGCACAGCTCAACACTGCTCCACCTGTTCGCTCACCCTAAGGCACCACAGGCTCTGAGCACAGCGCTGCCGGCCAGCAGCTGCAGGGGCTGATGAGGAGGCCGCTCTGGCATCTGGTGAGCATCAAGGCACCAGAGGGAGGGAGACGGAAGTACTGGGATGAGTTTTGGCCCAGTTTCTTAAAAAATGGCATTGGAGGGCCGGGGATGTAGCTCAGTGGTTCCGCCGCCTGCTGCGCAAGCGCAAGGACCCGAGTTCCATCCCCGGTACCAAAAAAAAAGAAAGAAAAACAAACAAATTTTAAAAATGGCATTGGAGCCAGAAGAGGTATTTACAGTGCCTCGTTTCACAGGACCCCGAGGGGACTCACTCACCTCAGCGATCCGCAGTAGGGCGTCCTCTGGGAAGTGAAAGCCTTTCATTCTGTCTTCAATTTCCCGCTGAGTCCTTTCGTTCTTCTCCAAAGCAAACGACGTCTGCTGAGCTTCGGTGAGCTGAAGCAAAAGCCTGCAAAGCCCAAAAGCCCTTGTGCAGCTCCGAGACAGGTCGGCAGGAGGACTCGCCATGCAGAGCGGGGGCTGGGGGCTCGGGGCTCGGGGCTGAGGCTGCCTGGCGGACGGAAGGCTCCGCACCCTGAACCACCGCTGGGTCCCGGAGACCTTCTGCTCCAAGAAACCACCCAGCTGCACGTGTAGTTAACACACTGGAACTTCTCAGAGTGTAAGGGAGCAGCCCCTTAGGCGAGCTTCCTGTAAAAGGCAAAGCCCTCGGAGCCGCTTCCTTCTCCCTGCCACCGCCTCGCACACTCACTCCCACCTGGTCGCAACTGCTTTTCACTGGTGTCCCACCCTCCACTTGCTGCGTCCTGGCGTCACCACGGCCAGCGGGCTCCACCCACACCACAGCCTGGATCGCCATCACCCCAACCTGCAAACCTTCACAGGCTCCTCAGGCCTGCCACACAGGGCCAAGCCCTTAAGACAGCACCTCGTGTCCTGTGCCAGTAATAAAATAAAGACAGGACTAACAGCTGACACTTTCCCAGTGCCCACCACAAACAATGCAGCAGAGTAAGGACTCCAATTCTACAGCCCCTCAAAACAGGTGTTCCCCAATCCCCACCTGTCAGGACGGGGCAGGTGGAAACCAAGACTTCAGGTTACCTGCACTCAGTCGGGCAGCTGGCAAGCAGAACAGGCCCGGCTCATGTGCCAAACGCCCACAATTTAAGCTCTCCCACACCAGACCTGATTCAAGTCCTGCCTCCTGCTCCTCTGCCTCCCGGAGGGAGCCGTGGTGCTCTTGCCCCAAGACAGCGTGACTGCTCTGGACCTGCAGCCACACCTGGCCTCCACCTTGCCTGCCCTTCCTCATCATGGTGAGGTGAGGCTTATCAGGTGAGCAAAGGCGGCCTGGCCCTGGCCTTCGTAGCTGTAGCCGTGCCACTGTGGAAATGACTTTAACAGCTCCTTACTCTGTAAAGCGGGGTCCCAGTGTGCACCCTGGGGAGGGTGAAGACTACGATGGAGTAATGTATCAGAGCACCTGGGCCTCAGGGTCAGAGATGAGCTTTTCCCCCAGGCACACGCCCGTCTCCTGCCCCACCAGCTCCCTGTGTCAGTCCACACAGAATTCCACTCAGACGCTCACAGACCACCTCACGCCCACGTGCGAAGTCCATGTGTCCAGCCCACTGGCTGGACACACATTTTCCTAATGCAGTGGACAGTGAAAGGAGAGAAATGCTTTTTTAAAAAATGATCTTTATGATCCTACCACCAACCAAGGCCTGGTACACGTACTTTGAAATAAAAGTGACAGACTCAATGCCAAATAAGCACCAGACAAATTTTAAAATCTGCCATTTCTTGGTAAGCCTCACTGTCACTATTTCTTGAATTCTCCAGAGTTAAAAATAATCTCTATGTTTTCATGAAAGTGTCTATTTCTTCTCTCTGAGGTGATAGAACTGGTCAAGTGTATTCCCTCAGCCTTTCCCTCAAATTCACATGCCGTAAGAACCCAAAGTTCTTGGAGTCCCTGGGCGGTGGTGGCAAACCTATGGCACACAGCGGCACCAGAACCCTCTCTGTCAGCACGCAAGCCAAGTAGCCCCAGCAGCTGAGCATCGGTAACAGCTATTTTCTATAAACTAAAACCTCAGTATTCCGCTGTAATTCCAGTGTTGGCACTCTGCGATAAGTAAGTGGGGTTTGGGTTACAATTTAGGCACTGGGTCTCTAAAAGATTCACCATCTCTGCCCTAGGGGCAAAGCATGGGAATCCTCTAAGGGATGAAATGAGCACTGCTTATTCACAGTATCAGCAATCCAACAGCAGACTTCCTTCAGATTCTACAGGATACACAAGCAAGAAATTCTCTCTTTAAAACAGCCCTTCTTCCCGTTTTACTGCTCTACACATTTTCTTTTCCTAATTCCTCAATCTTTTCCAGTTTTAACACTCTGTCCTGAGCGCTGACACAAGTTGTGTTCCCGAGCAAATGTTTCTACCCTCACACACTGAACTGATACAAGTTCAAAGGGCTCTGTCTCAACCCTAAGAAAAGTCCAAAGCCATGAACCAAGTGCCCGGCCTAGAAACTTTCAAAGCTTAAACTGAGCAAAAGTAAGCCCAACCCTGAGCTACTGCATGCAGTGTCGCACCCAGTACGCACTTTGTTTACCTGGCTCGAATCAAAGAGGCACACGCTTTCAGGAGCATTCCTGGGAACACAGCCTCCCGACTTCCTGCCATACAGCTGGGGGTGCTTTCCAGAGCCTTCTCACGTGTCTGGCCATGACTGCTTCTTTTGTCCAGGGAAAATACAGAGCTCTCAGGCAAGGTACCAGGGAAACACAAAAGACAGCCTTGTCCTGAGTGTGGAAAGGCGGATTTGACAGTTTTGTCACTGGAAGGCAAACCACTCTGTCCCTGTGTTGACATGAGTGACTCCGAGAGAGCCAGTCGCAGGCTCAGGTAAGCCTCTGCCAACTTGGCCCAGGCCCAGGGGTTAAATGGATGCAGGACAATCAGCTTCTGCAGGCAGAAGATGGTTTTCTCCAAGTTCGGCCAACTTGAACAAATAGCAAACTGGAGGTACAGGACAGTGCTCAAGTGGGTTGCGTTGGTCGCTTTATTTTCCTGAGAAGAAAACACACAAATGAACAGACAAAAGGTAAATAATGGTAAACTCCAAAATGTTTTCCATATAAAAATAAAGATGCCTAAAAGCCCAAGTAGGATATGTTAGAAATATCTTTCATGGGCCGGGGATTTAGCTCAGTGGTTTCAATGCCTGCTACACAAGCTCAAGGACCCAAGTTCAATCCCCGGTACCAAAAGAAAAAAAAAAAAAAAAAGAAATATCTTTCAATAGCTGTACAAGGCGAGTGAACTAAACATACTTCAACATTTCTCACTTGAAACCACAAACCTAGGGAAACACACACTCCCTAGCAAGCAGTTACCAGTCAAGTCCCAACACCCTACTGTTACAACAACACGACAAGTCATGTGGCAGTGGCTGACAAAGTCCAGCACCAGAAACATAAATTAGTTTCTTTCTAATTTGTATTATAATCCTGTCTTCAGCCAGATTTTAAGACTGTAGCCAATTTTCTTAGGCCCTGGGTGAAAGGTTCCATTTTAATATTCCAGGCTTTCTAAAAGCCCAAAAGGTAATTTCCGGGCCGGGGATTTAGCTCAGTGGTTTCGCCACCTGCTGCGCAAGCACAAGGACCCAACTTCGATCCCTGGTACCAAAAAAAAAAAAAGGTAATTTCCTTGAGGGTTTGAACAAACTCCATGTGCATATTTCCTTTGGCTTGGACATCTTACACAGGACAGCCCAGAGCCCTCAATGCTTCGTGCTGTATCCTAATTGAATCCAAATCCCTCCCTTGCTAACCAGTACCAAGGTCAGAGAAGGCTGCTTGCGTTCCTTCTGATCAGAAGACTTTTTCAAGTCTCTGTAGCCAGAGTCACCACCCATTGCCTACCTGGCCATGTGCAGAATACCCTGTTAGGAAAAACAGGCCTGCTTTCTCTACAGGAATGTCGAAGGGACAGAGAGCGGGACGAGGACCGTCCAGCTGACATGAAGTCTAAGGAGCCCTGGCCCATGAGCACCCAGACCAAGCTTCCACCCAGAACAGCGCCCAGGCAGGAAGCAGGAGTGAAAATACCCAGCATGCAGCCTGGAGGGCCCAGCATCCTGACAGGTGAAGGCACGTTCCTAGACTAAGCCAGAAGACGGGCAAACAAAACCCCACAACCTACCGGGGATACTGCACCTCCCGCAGACAGACCCTACCTTGTCTTATTCGTATACTGCCTCCTGCCTGTCCTCACCGTCCTTTAAGATCCTCTGCTCCATGCTGACCTCCTAGGGCACAGCACAGCTCCTCAGCCACCATGGTGTTGAGCAGCAAATTTTCTAACTTCTGTTTGTGTCTTTTATTCCTAATAAGGAAGACAACATGCACACCCTATTATCTGTAACAAGCGCTCCCCTGTCTGCAGTGCTCCCTGCTGCTCAAAACATTTTCACATTGAGAAGCAGGAGGGAAGCTGCTACACACAGGCTAGGATTGTGGTGCCCTGGTTTCGATAACATGGGGCTAACACACTGCTCCCTGGAAACTAAATTCCCTTTAAATTAATTTGAGGAATTTTTCCAAAATACTACAGTCCATCAATAAGAAGATGAGTTAACATGTTTTAAGTACTAGCCATATGCAGGGCAGTATTCTAAGGGTTTTACTCATTTAATCCTGACAATCTTGTAAAACTCTATTATCCCCATTTTACAGATGAGTCAACTGAGTCATTGGAAAGTTAGGTAGCTTGCCTGTGACTACACAGCTGGTAAGCAACAAAGCTATATTAAGGTGAAATACAGGTACAGCTCTGCTGTCTACTTTGTTCAGAATTACATACTGACCTGTCCCTGTACAGAATGTGAGAGGACAGTAACCACAGAGATGAAGAGACACAGACCAGAACTAACAACAAAAGAAAAGGACCCTGAGTAGGGAAGAAGTCTTAAAACACAAGATGTGGGGTTACCAGGAAATAAGGAAACCTCCAGACAGGCAGGATGCACTGGGAGAGGGGCAACGCGCGAGCCCACTGCCAGGTGTCCCACAGGCTGATGCAGTCCCAATAGTCCTGATGGGCCCAGAGCCCCTCACACGGAGCTGTCTCCCGCTCCGGAGACCTAGGGCCTTCTCTCAGCCCCAGAAACAGATGTGCTGAGGGAACCAGAGACCACCAGTCCCACCATGCCTCCAGCTGCTACTGTCCTCAACCAGCAAGCAGAGCACAGTGGATGAGGCCAACGGCGACGTGTGAGAGGGCAGCGATGGGCAGCAGAGCAGCAATGGGGTCTGGAATGGCATCAAAAGGCCCAGCGCTGTGAGGTGCAGAGCAGCAAGCCCAGCTCACTGCTCATGCCCAGGCTGGCTCACAAGGCGATCCATCCTTCTTCCACTTAAGGATGAGTGCCCAGCAAGTAGAGAAGGGCAACAAAGAGCAAAGCACAGCTGTTTTCCTGCTCTAAAGATCACTCCCACCAGGGCTCCTTGTGCTGGGGGAGCCTTGGTCTGGTCCGTAGTGAGATGGAGGAGGACCCTGCAGGCTACACAATGGGGCTCCAGATGGAGGTCATGGGGCTCACTGACACCTCTGAGGAAGAAACAGGCTCCATATGCCAGGTCTGGGCAACTCAGACTAACTCCCATATAAATTTACACAAAACCAACAGAAGTAAGCCATAAATGCCTGATCTAAACACAAAAACAAATACTCTATTTTTTTTTTTTGGTACCGGAGATTGAACTCAGGTCCTTGCGCTCGTGAGGCAGGCGGCAGAACCACTGAGCCAAATCCCGGGCCCAAAAACAAATACTCTAGAATCACAAACGACTGCCTTTCTTTAACCCTTAAAAAATTCTGCAAGTTCTATTTAAAAATGAAAAGGATTTTTTCTTGTTGTTGCTCGTTTTTGAGACAGGGTCTCGCTATGTCGTTCAGACTGTCCCTGAACTCACTATGCAGCCCAGGCTGGTCTGGAACTCACAGTGATCCTCCTGAGTGCTGGGACCACAGGCGTGCACCCCATGCCCGGCTATGAAAAGGATTATTAAGTTTGGCTTGATATTTAATTGTGTTTTTATAATTTTTTCTACTTACAGGAGTAACACATGAGTCCATGTGGAAATCTGGGAAAACAAAGCATAAGATCTTAAAAAAACCTCATAATCTATCTACTCCTCACAAGAATAAAACCTCTGAAAATGAGATTTTTCCAAACAATGGAGAATTTTGAGCATAACACAGAAGTATTATTAAAAAAAAAGGATTATATTCAAAGCTCCAAACTGTTCATAATAAAGTTCTAGTAATTTCTTTTGCTTGCCCAAACCCACTGATTCTGCTAACAAAAAATATTTATTGTTTTAGAAAATAAACCATTCAACTGTCCTTGGTAAAGGAAAGTAATGAAAGCACTCACCAAGTCTGTAGCAATCTCCAGTGCTTCCGTGTGCCTCCCCAGGTGAGCTAGACAGCGAGCCTGGCCTTCCCGGACATCCCTTGTCACGGCACAGTGGGTGGATGACAGGTTTTCAGAGATACTGGAATACTCCTGCAGGGCTCTCTGGCCATGGGGGGGCGTTGAGGATTCAGTGTAAGGATGGGGTTTTTTTTCCCTAGACAGAGGTAATGTTATCAACCCTACAATGAACTAAGGGAGACCTGAGTATTTTAGTGACTTCTACCATGGAAAATAGTACCTTATAAAAGGGACCAGGTTCCAAATCCTGGTTTTGCACCTATCTTCCTGTGAAACCATCTCATTACTATTTTCATAAAGATGAAATGAGGCAGGCATGGTGCCACTGAGCTAAATCACTGGCAATGGGATTTCCCAATGGGGAAAAAAATAAGAACCAAGATATATTATTTAAAGGAACAAATTCCCAATAATGAATGTCAGCATATTGTATACCTAAAATGTACTGATAAAATTATTTTTTAAAAAAAGATAAAATGGAACATATGTAAAGTAACCTGGTACCTAACTGTTCTTACTTCTCATTTCTTACGCATTTTGGGGTATTTTGCACCTGTATAAGGTGCCCGTGCTGGAGACTCACATGTAACACAGGGCTGGAGAACACGGGGAAACAGGGTGACAGGGACCCAAAACATTTCCTTTTTTTTTTAGAAGAAACAAAACAAATTATATAGAATCATATAGGAAAGGACAGACCCTTGGAAGTCTAATTTTAAAATACACAACACAAAAGATTCAATTCATCTTCACAAATGATACACTCCGAGCTCAGTACTGTGTTACTTACATACACTGTAACTGATAAATCAAGACTCCACTTCAAGTGTCATAACCTCACACTGAATCCCACCTGATACTCCTGGCGTCTGTAGGCCAGGTCCCCTCTGAATTTCCTGACAGTGAGAACATCCACATCATCACTGTCCTCTGTTTCTTCATCAAACCACTAGAAATCATGAAAAGAGCACATTACAGAGGGAAGCTATGCTTTTCCACCTCACAATTAGAAGCAATTTTCCATAATATAACCAATTAAACTTCAATAAAAAAGACATTTCTTCAGGATGAGACTGAAGGAGAAACACCTAATAATGACAATTTTAATGATGGCCCAGTTTTTATTAAAATATTCACAAGCAATAAACACAGCAACAAAATACTCAGAAAAGAAGCAGTCTCTCTAATTTGTGGTGTGGTGCCTCACAGTTCACTGCTTTTTTTTTTTTTGAGACAGGGTCTTGCTATGTAGTGCAGGCTTGCCTTGAACTCACTACTGAGCCCAGACTGGCCTCCAACTTGCAGTAATCCTCCTGCCTCAGCCTCTCCAGTGCTGGGACCACAGGTGTGCACCACCACACCTGGCATGCTGCTTCTTGTAGAGCAATTTTAGAGTGGCTACAATGGGAACTGGAACTCTTTAGGTAAAGAAAACAAGAGAAGAGTGACAGTCGTGGTGCTATTGTGGAAATATTTTCAAGGCACAAAAAATGGAATCTAAGCAAAGGAAATAGAAACAAAGGCTAAAAGGAGTCTTCAAAGCAATTAAATACCAAAGACCCAGTAGGGAAAAAATGTCCAACTGGGATACTTTACTTGCTTCTCTACTCATTTAAGCCTGCTGGATAGAACAGAAAGGAAAGATTAAGATTTCTCTTTTTTTTTTTTTTTGGTACCAGAAATAGAACTCAGGTCCTTGCACTTGCGCAGCAGGCAGCGAAACCACTGAGCTAAATTCCTGGCCCTAAGATTTCTTGATTACTGAAAAAAAGAACATAAGATACAAGAACAAGCACTGTGTGCCAGCTTTTCCAGCTCCAAAGAAATGTCATACTACCTTTTTTGGGGGAACCAAGGATGGAACTTGGGACCTTGCACTTGCAAAGCAGGCGGCAGAACCACTGAGCTAAATCCCCAGCCCATGTTATACTCCCTTTTACTCAGAGTAAAACACACTGAGGCTGAAGAAAATCCATCATGGTTAAATGCTATTAATTCAAATGTAACAATGTTTGTGATGGTCCCACCATCACTCACACTTGCTTGGCTCTTTCTAGAAGGGTGGCCTGCATATCTGCATCCCTCTGTAACACTGGCCTCTCTCTTTAGCCCAATCTACCAGTGGAGAGAGCTAGGAACCATTTTTTTTTGTTCTCCCTCAACCACTGTGTCACTCTAGGACTCGGTAGTCTTCTGTTTTTTCTCCAGTCCCATTTTTTAGATTAGCAACTCCCAACTTTCTCCACAATAACCTATGAACCTCCACCCAATTTTTATTATGCTACTGGGGAATGCCGAAGCAAAGTAGGCTTTCAAATGACTATTTTTATTCTCCACAGGCCTGGCAGAATACAGATGATGCCTTCAAATACACCCCCTGGCAAGAGGAAGGTGCAAAGAACCTTGTGAAGGGTGGGTGGTCATGGATACCCTAAACCTCTGGTCCTGCAGCATCTGGGCAGACTACAACAGAAATCTTCTAGCCAAAGCTCCTAGGAAACCAACACAACTTTAATAATGGCTCTGAGTGTATTTGTGAGCAGCATATTTTCCTTCTCACTTAGCAAACACCATGTAAAGTGAACACTTTGGAGTTTTACTTCCTAAGTACTGTATACAACACATCACACCTAACAAAGTATTTTCATATGCATTATCTCATTTCACTCCCATCATAACCCTGTGAGCAAGTGTTATCATCATCATCATTATTATCATCGTTATTTTGTTTGTTTGGAGACAGGTTCTCACTATGTAGCCTAGGCTGACCCACGAGTCAAGATCCTCCTGTCTCAGCCGCCTGTTGGGATATAAGGAACTGACACCCGAAGGGCAACTGGTATCCACCTGTGACCTGGGTTTTTGTGCTCCAGCGTATGTGTCCCCTACCCACTCCCTAAACTCAATAGTTTACACAACTGAGTAGTGGCGGTAACGCTGAAAGACTGCATGTGGTAAGGAGAAATTTACCTGAAACAAAAATGCAATTATGGAGGACTAGTGAGTGAGATCTATATTCATGAACTAATACGAGGCTACTAAATATTCTAATTGCACAATACGCTCAGAGCTCTTCTCCAGCCAAACTATCACGCCCCGCAGGCACTGGGTAAGATGTGTCCCGACTGTTCGCGCTGCGGCAGGACTTCAGGCTGACGGCGCCTAGGACAGAAGAGAGGAGGAGGCGGTCTCGACAAGCGCGTTTCCCGGGAGGCAGAGTCAGAAACGACTTCCTGGAGGAGGCGGCCCAGCGCCCCTAGGGCGACCCCTAGGGCGGGAGGCCGGCCCGACGGCCGGCCGGGGAGGCCCACCTCTCACCTGCGGCTCGCAGCGCTTGGCGCCGTAGGGCGCGGGAGGCCCAGGCCGCCGCTCGGACCGCTCCTCGAACATCGAGTCCTCGAACTCGCCGCCGATCGGCCAGAAAGCCGGATCCATGCCGCCAAGCCCACAACGGCGCCCGCGAGCCGCCAACCGGAAGCGGGCAACCGGAAGCGGCGCGCCGCGCGCGGCACGCTGGGACGCGTAGTCGTGGGCCGAGTCGACTTCTGGGGGTCCTGCAGGCCGCTCACAGCCTTCCCTGCACTGTTAAGGCTACTTTTATCATATGCGTTTTCAGACTTAACAGCCTTACGAGAGGCACAGTGAGTCCCATCTTCCAAGGTAAGATACCAGGCCTTGGACAGTTGAAGGATCTTCTCAGTCCGTTTCTACCTGGCTGAAGCGCTCAGAAATCCCAGACTGCGCGGGTCTGTCGCAGAGACGCCACTGCTCGTGACAGCCAGCAGAAAGGAGGTCTGGGGCTTAGCTAGGGAGCGTCCGTTCTGCCTGGCACCAGATCTGGGGTTGCAGGCCGGACGGGGTTGGAATTTCACACTTTCGGGATACCCCGTGACTGTAGGAAGTAGGAATTGCTGACAGAATACGGTCATATCAATCACACTGTGTGATTCCACTGACCAGCTCCTCTTCTCGCCCTCCTCCGAGGGTACCGAACCAGGCCCGCGGGTTTCAAACCCCAGCTCTCCAGTCATTACTCCTCAAATCTAGAACCAACCCATTCATCCGACAGCTCCACACAGCCACTGGGCATTAGCTCGAGATGAGTTCAGCCAAAGGGATTTTGTTGTTTTCCTTTTCTTTCTTTTTCGGTATTAGAGATTGAACCTAGGGTCTTTGCACTGAGCTACATCTCCAACCTTCTTTTTATTTTTATTTTCAGACTGGGCCTCACTAATGTGCTAAGTTGCCCAGACTGTGTTCAGACTTGTAACCCTCCTGCCTCAGCCTCCTAGAGTACTGGGATTACAAGCATGAACCATCACACCTAGCTCAGAGAGGTCCATTTTTTTTCTTTAAATGTTGTTTTCCCATTAAAAATTTAATACTCCTTATTAGGAAAAATTTGGAGATTACAGAAAAATAGAAGAAAAAAGCAATTTATAATATCATCACCCAACAGAAAGGGTGTCCAAAAAGGGGAGAGATAGATGCTCTAATTCTAATAAGCCCCATCCTAACAGAAAAGCCAGTACAGCCTACTGTTGAGACAGATCTGTCCAGGTTCACGATCCTCATTCACCAGCCCAGTTTATGAAATGGGCATGGGTTAAAGTAACATACATCTAAAGTGCTTGTCAGACAGCAAGATGGTAAAATATTATCATTACAAATTCTTGTTCCAGAGCCAGGTGTGGTGTCACATGCCTGTAATCTCAGTACTTGGGAGGCGGAGGCAGGAGGATAGCTGTGAATTACAGGCCAGTCTGGGCTACATAGTGAGTTCAAGGACAGCCATGGACTACATGGCAAGACCCTAAATTCTTGCTCCAGAGGAAAAGCAAAGCAAAGGCAGGCAAGGAGGATAGGGTTTCCTTTACATTTTCTTTTTGGATGCTGTTTTGTCTTGGAATTCATCCATCCTGTTCAGAGAGCTCTGGGTCCAGCCTCCTCTGGCTCAAGAACCAGCTGAGCTTGATTTTGCTGAAATGGCAGGGAGTCTTGTTGAGGCAGCTTATGGGTAAATGATGGTGCTTGTGCACTTTGCCTGAGGATTCCTGGTCTCAGAGGTTTACAACCTTTTTATCACCAAGAATTTTTATCACCAATCTGTTTCTAAGGATTTTGATACATAAAAATCTGGGTTTTGTTTGAGTTTCCCATCACAAGGTGGACATCATCCCCACCAGGCACCCCTCCTTCCTCTGTCCTAATTCGCCCTTTCTTCTACCTATTCCTATGCATCTGGCACACTATCAAGGCCAATGATGGTGTCGTTTTCACTCTTCTAAATTCAGCCTTCAGACAGGACTTGGTCCAGAGCATCTGGATCAATGCCTGTTGGATGGACAGGTGAATGACAGGGAGGAGCACTTCTCAGTTCTGCATCACACGTTCATATCCTGCCTGTGAGTTGAGGAGGGCAGGAACCAACAGTCCCCTGTGAAAGTGCCCTGAATCAAGATGATGAACCCTCACCACCCCAGGACCTTACTGAGTCTTGCCTCCAGCTAGCTGCTGTTCTGAACTGGCCTCCCACATTCTACCCTCCAGTCTTTGCTGGGAGCACTGCACTGTGGATCACCATGGCCAGGCCTAACGCCTCCTCCCATGGAGGAGACCAGGCGACAAGAAGGCATGGCGGAGCAAGGCCTGGGGAGAAGAGGACTGTCTCTCCCCCGCCCAGTCGCCAGAGAACCATCAAGCATGATGTCCTGCAGACCTTAGCTCTCTCCTGGCCCCGGTTACAGACCAGCCTCTTTACGTCCCCTGCGCTGCCCTTGTCTCTACTATAAATAAAGGTGCTGAGGATGCCAGTGCTTTTTATCCCATCAAGAGAAGGGGTTTCCACCTGGCCCCAGCTTTATCAGCTTTATCAGCTCTTTGTCATTCTCTTTGTCTGTCTTTCTTAATCTCCCACCATCGTTTCTCACTCCATGGACCCTTCAGCCCTGCAGGCCATGGCAAGTCTTTCCCTCCTGCAAGCTTCCCTGCCCTGAGCAGACCCCAGCTCACGATTTCCTTTGTTAGGAATTCCCCTCCCCCATACCCTTCAGCCTTTCCTGGCTCACATAGCCCTTGTCTAACACCAGGTGCCTCTCCTAGGATGTTTCACATAGCCTGTGCTGGTTCCACATTCACTTTTTTGTCCCATGCTCACTTGTCCACCACCCCCAGTAGATCATGAGCTCATCCAAAGAAGGCATTGGGTCACTCATGTCTGTCTACCACTAAGCACAGTGTCTGGCACCCTGTACACCCTCACTCAGTATTTATTGAGTGACTGAATCAACACTGTATGCTCCTATAGGGCCATGATTGACACAGTATTCTGGTTTAGATCTAAAATGTCTCTTAACTGGGCCTGGTGGTACAGGCTTATAATCCCAGTACTAAGGAGGCTGAAGCAGGAGGACTGCAGTGAGTTTGAGGCCAACCTGGGCTGCATAGCACATTCAAGGCCACCCTGAACTACCTAGCAAGACTCTGCCTCAAAGAAAATAAAAAACAACAACAAAAATGTCTTTAAAAATGTCTCTTGTCTTCAGATATGAGTCTTTTGGAAGGTGATCAGATTGTGAGGTCTCCAGCTTCATAACTGGATTAATCCATTGATGAGATAAGAATTTAATGGCATTACTGGGGAGTGATAAAAATTCAGGAGTCAGGGCCTCATGAAAGGAGCAGGTCACAGAAGCGTGACCTTGTCTGTGGTCCCTTCCTCCCTGGCTCTTCCATCTCTTTGCTTCCTGGCAGCCATAAAACAGTCACCTTTGTCTACCACACTCTTCAACTATGTTGTTTCTCCTCACCACAGGCCTAAAACAATGCAGCCAGCTACCCATGGCTAAAAGTTCTGAAACTATGAGCCAGAATAAATCCTCCCTCCTTTAAGTTGCTTAGCTCAGGTACTTTCTTTTAGTGATCAAAAGATAACACAGAAAATTGGTACCAGGAGTGGGGCCTCGATTTCCAAGATGCCCTCAAGACATCTTTCCTATTGTTCTGTGCAAAGTACTTGGCTTCTTTTTAATGGCATTAATCTGTTCAGTAACCACATGTTCCATGGTCCCAACTTTACACGTGCTTCTTTTCTAACCAAGCTGCAAGTTTTTCAAATTTGTCAGTTCTACTTTTTGCTCCCAGTACTCACTGTAAAAGCAGTCAGCCAGAAATATATATGCCACGAATGCTATACTACCTTGAAATTTCCTCTACTAGATTAATTAGTGCATTGCCTTTAAATAGGCTCACACAGTCTTAGAGCATGGATAAAATGTAGACAAATTCTTTGTCAAAATGTCATACTCAAGGCCTCTAGAGCAATTCCCAATAGAGGCCTAATTTTCATCTGAAACCTCAGGATACATTAACCTTTACTATCTGCAATCCTGTCAGTATTCTGATCCACCAGGATCACCCATTAAGCTCAACTTACAATACCCTGAGCTTTTTCTAGGCTGCATTTCCAAATTTTTCCAAATTTCTCCCACAAGCAAGTTCCGAAGGGTTCTGAACCACATGATCAGGTGGAGTCACAGCAACAACCCCATTTCTGGCACTAATTTTTTGTTACTCAACTTTTTGTCACTGTGACAAAATACCTAAGATAGACAAAGGTTTTAGTCCATGATCAGCTGGCTCCATTGCTCTAGGCCTATAGTGAGGCAGAAACATCATGGTGGAAACACATAGTGGCGCAAAATGGCTCATGGTGTGGCAGCCAGGCAGCAGAGAGGGTGAAAAGGATCTAAAGAGGAAGGGGCCAGAGGCAAAACATAGTTCTCTATAACCAGCTTCCCTCAACTGTCCCACCTTCTCATGTCCTAATAATACCATCAGATTATAAATCAATAGATTAATCCACTGATTAAGCTGGAGTCTTAATGAGCCACTGACTTCCAAAAGCCAGTCCTCTGAACACATATGCTTTTAGGGGGACATTTCATACCCAAACCACATACACACATTCATTTCTCCATTCCATGCATAATGCAGTGTGTCTGAAGGCTTTTTCTGTGCCATGAGCCAAGAATATGCCACTCAAGGTCTCTGCTGACATGAAGCCCATACTAAGGTGGGGAAGCAGGTAATAAACATATAAGCAAGCAAATTAATTACAGATTGCAGTGATGATAAATAATTACAGGGCAGGGCCGGGGATTTAGCTCAGTGGTTCCGACGGCTGCCTTGCAAGTGCAAGGTCCAGAGTTCAATCCCCAGTACAAAAAAAAAAAAAATTACAGGGCTTAGTAGTCTAGAACATCTTCTGTATGAAACCACATCTCTTCTTACCCATGCAGTTTTCCTCTGAGCAGTCCTTCTCAACTTGCATAGATATATTTTTTGTTGCTGTTCAGCTTCTATAGATATTGATATTCTCTTTTCCTTGTTTCTGCCTTTTTCTGTTCCTTCGGAACAAAATATATCCTTACATTGCTGGCATGAAAATCATCCCACTAATTTTTATGGGGGTTTTTTGGTACCAGGGATCCAACTCGGGACCTTGCACTTGTGAGGCAGGTGGTGGCACCACTGAGCTAAATCCCTGGCCCGATTTTCATGGTTTTTTTAACCAATATATATTAATATTTTAAGCTCACTCAAATATCCCATATTCTGTAAATTGAGTCAAATAAAATTTGGTGCATATCTACTGTAAGCCAAGTGGTGTTTCCAGAGTGAAAGTGATAAATAAGGTAAGATTCTTGCTCACGTGGAACTGAAGTTTTAGTGGGGAGACAGTGAACAATCCATGTTCCAGGGGAGCATTGCTGAAAACACTGCAAGGTGAACGAATGACCTGAAAACTCCCTTGGCAATTTTACAGTTGAAGCACTTAACACACGGCAAAGGCCCAGGGGGAAGACTGTGGAAGATGCTTTGGGAAGGTAGGACATTCAGAAGTTCCTGTGTATTGGGAGAATTTAGAAAGACACACACATACCCAGGCCAAGATGAGTGCTCATAAAAGACCTAGGGTGCTTCTGGGGTTCACCACAGGCCTGGAGTGCTGGAACATCCCAGCACTGAGCAGTGGCCAGACAGGAAGTAGTATTTGGCTTTTTATTTTTCTTTTCTTTTCTTTTTTTAACATAGCATTACGAGTTCTAGCCAAAGCAATTACTCAAAAAATAAAAGGCATCCACATTGGAAAGGCTATCTGTTCACTGGTGACATGGTCCTAAGTATAACAGAAAGACCCAAAGAATCCACAAGAAAGCTACTAGAGCTAATAAACAAATTCAACAAAGTTGCCCATTACAAGACCAACAATGAAAATCAATTCTACCTATACCCCAGCAATGAACAATGCAAAAAATGGGAATTAAAAAAGCAATTCCATTAACAACAGCATCTAAAATAATAAAATACCACCTGGGCATGACATCTGTACACACATCTGTAATCCCAGCACGCTGGGCGGTTAAGTCAGGAGGATTGCAAATTCAAGCCCAACTTGGGCAACTTGATGAGACCTTGTCTCAAAATTGAAAAATAAAAATTTAAGGGCCGGGGATTTAGCTCAGTGGTTTCACTGCCTGCTGCGCAAGCGCAAGGACCCGAGTTTAATCCCTGGTACCAAAAAAATTAATTAAATAAATAAATAAATAAAAATAAAAATTTAAAAAGGGGTTAGGATGTGGTTCAGGGCTAAGGCCCTGGATTCAATCCTCAGTACAATCAACCAATAAAATAAAATGTAGGAATAAATTTAACCAAGGTGAAAGACTTGTACACTGAAAACTACAGAACATTGCTGAAAGCAGTTAAGGCCTAAATACACGGAATAACATTCTGTATTCATAGATATGAAGACTTGAATACTGTTAAGATGTCATTATGACCCAAAGCAATCTACAAATTCAACATAATCCAATTTCCAGCAGTTTTTTAAAAATGGAAAAGCCAATCCTCAAATTCATATGAAATCAGAAAGCCAAACAGAACCACCTGCCCCCCCTCAAATCTTGAAATAGAAGAAAATTGAAGGTCCTACAATCTTGATTTCAAAACTTACTACTAAATCAAAACAGTGCAGTGCTGGTATAAGGACAGAATTATAGATCAGCAGGGCCAGGAATTTAGCTCAGTGGTTCCGCCACCTGCTTCACAAGCACAAGGTCCCAAATTCAATCCCAGGTACCAAAAAAAAAAAGAATTATAGATCAACAGAATAGAGTCCAGAAGTAAACTTTCATATATATAGCAAATTGATTTTTTACAAAGGTGCCAAGTTAATCCAATGGGGGGGGGAATAGTAGCTCTAACAGATGGTGCTGGGATTACTGGGTTATCCTGCACAAAAAAATGAAGCTGAACTCCCATTTCATACCACATACAAAAACTCCAAATGGATTAAGGACTTAAATGTAAGAGCTAAACCCATAAAACTCTTAGAAGAGGGCCAAGGATTTAGCTCAGTGGTTCCGGCGCCTGTCTCAAAACCACAAGGTCCTGAGTTCGATCCCCTGTACCAAAAAAAAAAAAAAAACTCAGAAGAAAATATATGGGTAATCCTCAAGACCTTGAATTTGGCAATAGCTTCTTAGATATGATATCAAAAGCCACCACTGCATATAATGAATCAACAAATAATGAAGACTGAGTATATTTGCAAATCATATAAGATTGTAACATCTAGAATATATAAAGCACTCCTAAAACTTAACAACAAAGAGCCAACTCAATCAAAAACTGGGTAAAGACTTGAACAGACATTTCTCCAAGAAGATACAGAAGTGGTCAGAAACCACAGGGAAAGATGATGTCACTACGGAAATGCAAATCAGAACCCCAATGAGATACCACTTCCTATCTGCTGAGATGGCTGTAACTATCCCTATGTTAACTACACTCTATCCTATGTCCTACACTCTATCCCTATGTTAACTATACTGTATAATAATTTTATAAAAAGGCATGAGCAAGGACAGAGGAAACTGAAACCCCTGTACACTGCCAATGAAATTACAATACAGAGATGCTGTGGAAAACATTTTGGCACTGTGGAAACGTCTGGTGGTCCCTCAAAACAGTTACACATAGAGCTGGGTGTAGTGGTACATGCCTGTAGTCCCAGCCACTCAGGAGACTGAGGCAGGAGTATCACAAGTTCAAGGCCAGCCTGGGCAATTTAGTGAGACACTCTCAAAATAAAATAAAATTGGGCTGGTGATGTAGCTCAGTGATAGTGTATTAGGTACAAGGCACTGGATTTAACCTCCAGTGCTGCAAAACAAACCATCAAAACATAGAATGACCATGGGAATGTGGCTTAATGTGAAGGCCATGGGTTGAATCCCCAGTCCTGCAAAAAACAAGAAAAATTGGGCCGGGGATTTAGCTCAGTGGTTCCGGCAGCACAAGGTCCTGAGTTCCATCCCCGGTACCAAAAGACAAAAACAAACAAACAAACAAAAAACAAGAAAAATCCCTAAAAAACAGGAACCCAAATACTTGCATACCAGTGTTCACTGCAGCATTATTTACATACCTAAAAAGTGTAAACAACCCAAGTGTTTATTGACAAATGAGTGGTAACCAAAATATAGTGAACATATACACAATGAAATGTAATTCAGCCATTGAAAAAAGTTCTGATGTATGCTGCAGTGCTCACTTCGGCAGCACATATACTAAAATTGATGTATGCTGCAACATGAATGACCTTGAAAACATGCTAAATGAAATAAGCCAGATACAAAAGGACAAATACTGTATGATCTGTTTATTTGAAATATCAAGAATAGGCAAGTTCATAGAGACAGAAAGTAGACTAGAGGTTACCAGGGCTGGAGGGAATTCAGAGTTATTGCTTAATGGTTGCAGGTTTCTGTTTTGGGTGATTAAAAAATTTTTGGAAATAGTTGTTATTGTGCAACACTGTGAATATAATTTCATGTCACTAAAATGTATAGTTAAAATGAGTATCATGGCAAATTTTATGTGATATATATTTTACCACAACTTTAAAAAAATTACTGAGTTAATAAAATGGAAAAAAAGTCACTGAAAACTACTAATCACTGCTAACTTTTATTTTGTATTCAAGGACACAATCAACCAGGAAAGAAAGGTTCTCTTGCCCTGTCAAATAAATATATTTAAAAGCTAGCAAACATCAGAGCCGAATTTTATCAAGCCTATAAAAGAGATGAGAAAATATTATCAATACTGTAGTTATTTACAGCTATACAAGTTAACATATCGCAAGGGAAACATAATATAAATATATTCAAACATAATATAAATATATTCCAATACTTGACATTTCAAATTTGAAAACATTAAAATTACTGTCAAACAAAACTCAGACCACATTAGCAATGGTTTAAAAAAGGAAGCAATTTAATCATTATAATACAGAGTGCTTTAAGAAGTTCTTAAACATGTAAAAGAAGAGTTTAGTGCATTCAATTGTTACAGTCTTTACATTGCTTCTTTTTTAAAAAAGTTAACAGTAGTATGAAAAAAGCCACCCACAAAGCCAACTGTCTGAGTGAAGAAATCAGCTAAATTGCAGCATTTGAGAAGTACTAATAAAGCTATAGTTAAAAAATAAAAAGTTTATAAAAATGAAAGCAGCATGCATATTCAAGGCTTTTTCATAACATTTTCATTAGCTGACAAACATTTAACCAAGAGCTTAATATTTATTATTCATTAAATTAGATAAAATAAACTGGCCAGGGCCACTACGTGTGATCATTCAGAAAAACATTTTAATATCCAAAGCTCATTAAACTGAACATTTCTTCTATGAAAAAAGCACATTTTGCAAAATGGTCCTATGGTCACAAAATAAAGGGTCCTTCTCAACATGAATGAACAGCACCAGTCTTTACAAAGTTTTAAGTTAGTATGAACTTCAGTCTCCTGATGTAGAAAGAGTTAACAGTTAACATTCCCATGATTCATAAGTGGAAAAGCTAACTTTTAACTCATTGGAATCAGTTCAGAATTTTTTCCTCTATTCACTGAAATTGTAACACAAGGTAGAATTTCACCAAAAGATAGTTCTTGACAATTCTGATCTGACACTTCTACAAACACTTCTGATTTCCACCTGAATGTAAGAAAACACTAAGGTATTTTACCACATGATTCTTTTTCACATTTTTTGGTACAGTATTTATTTTAGAGTTTTACTCTATTCAACTTCTTATACCAGTTTCTTTTCCTTCTTCGGTATTATCTTCAGTTTAATAACAAGCAAAACAGCTTCAAATAAAAAAAGTAACAGAAGTATTACAAACAGAAATAGTGGTACCCATCAGTGTTTAATGAAAGATCCAATCATTAAGGGCCAGTGATACCACAAAATCTTATTGTCCCAACATGTGTAAGTAAGCTACTTTTATGCTCGAAATTGTTTAGGCTCATGTACAGTTTTTAATCTTAGTACAAGGCCTGATAAATAAGACACAGAAATAAATCAAGTATTAGGGCTTTTTTTTCCCATTTCTAACAATTTTTACTATGTAAAATGTTTGGTCACTCAAAGCTATAAGCTTAATCACATATCAAAGAATACAGGCAATACAGCCCATCTTACTAGACACACACTAGTAAGCTGGACTAAACATGAGGACAAGCTCTAGTGGTCATTAAACCCGTTCAGAAGGTCCAAAATTCAGAATGTCTCCATTATAGCAGAATAAAAATGTACTGTTTTAAAATCTGAATTTCTACAAGTTGTTTTTTAATTAGTGTTGTATTTACATTGCAGAACTTCCACCAGCTGTAGTAGTTTAACTTTGGCACAACATTAAGTTCCATTTCTTTTGGATATTGGATCCTGTTTTTTGAGAGTGTGTATTCCCCAAAACATTTTCAGTGTCATCGAAGATTGGGCCCATTCACAGTAAATCAGATATCTTGAGTAGAAGAATTGATTCTCCTTCAACATTTTAAGCAGCTATATAAAGAAAACATAAAAAAACCCCTGAAACTTTAAAGAAAATAATGTTTTAATTTTTGCTACTTTTAGAACAAAAAAGTATCAATCAGCTATGAAAATACATTCTCTGTCTTCTCTCAATACTGAGTTCACGTTCCATATACATCTCATATAATGCACTCAACTTGTGGGCAACTCATAATATGATATATAATATATATATATATATATATATATATATGTTCATTATGTGCCATGTTTATGACATTTACAACCTTTCTCTAATCATTGATAAAATTGTTAGTATGAAGTATATATTTCATTGTCAGAATTTGTAGTGAACAAATTATAAAATCTAAAGATTTTTTCTTATTTTCTGTATTTTTTCTTATTTATATACAAATCTGGCATGTGCCAAAGATATATATGTACTTCACTCTGTGTAATATCTTTAGGAAGGTTTTGATGAGTCCTCTTATAAATAAAAAATTTATTAAACCAATGATAAGACATAAATTCATGTGTTTTATAATTTCAGACTTTTATACACTTTAAAAGCAAAGCATGCTTCCATGTGCATCACAAAAATGCACGTTACACATATAAATACATTTTTTGAAAACGGTAGCTTTATGTGAATTCTCTTAGCATAATTAGTATCTGTGCTAATATAAAACATAAGAATTATCCACACAAATTTAAAGTAAGGTCAACATAAACCATACAGAAAAGTTCACATTATTTTTAGAAGTTTACAACTCTCCAGAAAATCACTGCAGAGCCTCAACAACAATTCACTGCAGCAACAAATTTTCTGACTTAATCTTTGCTGGGTACACATTCTTGTGTTTAGCAATAAAAAAAAAAGCCTGTTAAAAATATTTTATGCATCTAGGTCAGAACAAAGTCTGTCCTGAAGTTTTCCGACATGAGGAAGTGGAGGACTGCATTTCAGGATAAAGCCGTACCAAACTGTTTAGCTTCTTAAAACTTAGAGATTATATATGCTCTATATCCTATTATGAGATTTATGCTGCTTATTAAAACAGATACATTTTTAGTTCATCTATTTTCCTGCCTTAAGAAAAAATTAATGAAAAATATTGCTAGGCAATAAGGAGAGTGCCTGGTATCTTTATAAATAATTGTTAAAATAAATAAACCAGGGAGAAGACATGAGGGAAGTAAGTACTGTGTAGAATAAGACTATAAAAATAAAGGGGATGCGCAAGCACAAGGACCTGAGTTTGATCCCCAGTACCAAAATAAATAAATAAATAAATAAATGGGAGTTAGGAATGTAGAAAGCCAAGGAAATAAGTAAATACACTCATATGCAAAACAGCGATGATAGTCTATGTTTCTTTCCTTCCTTACTGCCTGAGAACACTGCAGTAATTTCTTGTAGCACAATGCTATTTGAAAACAACTGTGGACATACACAGACACTTTATGACCACTATGTTATTTTCAAAACAGTATATATTTTTTCAAAACAGTATATTTTTATCCTAGAATACTCTAAAACAGAGAACAGAAAAAGAATAAAACAATGTGACAGAATTCCATATTAAGAACTGAAGTCCTGGGCCGGGGATGTAGCTCAGTGGTTCCGGCGCCTGCCTCACAAGCTCAAGGTTCTGAGTTCAATCCCCAGTACCAAAAAAATAAAAAAAAGAATTGAAGTCCTAATTCAAATTAGGTATTGATTTCTGGTGATAAAACTGTAATTATAATAAAAGAATTAAGATTTAAGGAATACACTAAAACTTTTCCAATTTAAACTATATATTTTTTTGCATTTTTATGACTATAGAGTTTTTTTGGTGGTTTTTTTTTGGTACCGGGGATCAAACTCAGTACCTTGTGCTTGCGAGGCAGGCGCTGTAACCACTGAGCTAAATCCCCGGCCGAGATTTATTTTTTAACCAAAAACAACAAACTCTTTTTTTTAGCTGAACATAGTACTTGTGCTAATATCAGGTTTGTTTTATATCAGCGAATGAAGATATTTTAGGCAACTGAGTTAATATCAAATCTGTTATTTGCCTTCTGATCTCTAAAAGAGAAATAATCTGCATTACAGTTTTCAAAAACACATACCACCTAAGTAAACATGAATTTATGTTTTAATCCATTTATGCCAAAGGTTGCAATTTTTTGAATTTTTTCATGAAATTCATAGATGTTACCTAGAAAAGTTCAAGGAACAAGAATTGGAAGAGAAAAAATTTTATTATGTTCCACTGTTATGTGCCATTCCAAAAATGGCAAACTAGGCATAAAAGGATTAATAGAAAAAAATATTGTAAAAATCTAATAAAGTTTTGGGGGCAACATGATGAAAAAAAAGAAAATATATCCATTTTCACCTAGTTTCTTAAAAATGAGAAACCCTCACCCCTGCTGTCTCTATTTTGGTATATTTTTCCCCTTCTTTCTAGTTTTTTTTTCCTTAAATAGGTGAAAAAAATGAAACCTTAGTGAAGGGAGGATTGTGAGAAACACATTTTAGTTGTCTTTAGTTTGTGTTTGTCTCCATCTTTTTTACAAAGTAATTTTCCCTTGAAACAAACTAAAAAACATTTTGTATGAAAAATAATTAAAGCAACTTTAAACTCTATATAACACAATAATTATAATTACACATGATAATCATGTATGTCTTGGTAATACTAATAGCACCTAGTTCTCTTATTTGGGAAAAGAAGCAAAAGTGTTTTAGAAAAAAAAATCAGAAGTGACAATGACTGACACAAAGTGACTGTTAAAAATGTACGTGGTTGATGTATATAATCGAGGTTAAAAACTTACATTTCAGTCATCCGATTTAGAGAGTTTCCGCTTCACATGTCGTGGGGGTTCCCAAGTATCACTATCGTCAGTCTCTTCCTCATCCTCTTCCTGATCATCAATAACTTCATCTTCCTCCTCGTTTTCCTCAAATAACTCTATGCCCAACTCAGATCTTCTCTGTCTCTCTGCAAACCACTCTCTGACCTGCTCATAGCCCATATGCGATCTGTTGACGAGCTCATCAAGATCTTGCTCATTGAGAAATTTGTGCTTCAGGTAATAATCCTTAAGGATCGCGGTTCCAGTTTTAAATTTTATAAGCGACGGTGCCCTGTCCCAGGTGTTCATTCTTTTGCCTCCTCGCGGCCGCCCACGAGGTCTTCCTCTCCCCCGCCCCTTGGGCCTCCCTCTCCCTCTTTTCCTAAGGGAAGACAGGCCATTCATGCTGCTCGAGTTGGAGCTCTGATAGTAGTAGTACCACTTCAAGTTTCCATTCTTCCAAGCGTAGCGGGTGTCCCCAAACCAACTAACTATGTCTGTCCTGGCAAGCCCACTTTCCTCGGCCAACTTATCGTACTCCTCCGCTGACGGCCACTGGCTGCGGACGAAAGCGCTTTTCAGCATGTGCAGCTGCTCAGGGGTTTTTTTACATATCTTGCCCGTATTCCCTGACTTAGGTGGGACAGATTCATCTCCGGGAGAAGTTTCTCCAGCTTCTTCTTTGGAATTACCTGCGTTACTTTCATCTATTTCTATTTTCTCTTCCTTTAAAGCTTTTGATTTCTTCTTCTCTGTAAACCAAGCATCAATTTCTCTTCTCGTAAGTTTGGTTTGCGTTCTTAACCTATTTAATTCCTCATCTGTGAGAACAGAGCTGTTGAGAAAACTTGCCTGAAGGACGCGAAGTTGCTCTGTAGTTTTCTCCTTAAACTTCTGTGGAGTGAAGTCAGGGAAAGGATTCCAGGATTGTTTAGGCTGAGAAGTAACCACAGTTGGGGAGTCTGTGGTTTCATCGCTGGAGTCTATGATAATGGTGGTAGAGGGATCATTGTTGAGATGTAAGCACTGGTTGCTTTTCGAATTTCTCTGGTTGTACCTTGTGTCACTAAACCATTTTTTAATCTCTCCTTTTGTCAGCCCTGTGATTTTCATAAGTCTGATAATTTCTGAGTCGTGGGGAAACTGATTTTTAAGATAGCTAACTTTTAATTCTGCAAGTTGCTCTTTAGTCTTTTTTGCCCGAATGCCAAATGAATCAGGGTTTACCAGCGGCGTTTCAGGTTTGGCATTCTGAGAAGGCAGAACTGCTGCTGCAGCTGGCTTTGTTTCTGCAACAGGCTGAGGAGCAGGTGCCTGGCTTTTCTGTGCATTTGTTTGATTGGGAACCCCTGCCACTGTCAAGGCTATTGGTGCTGTTACAGGCAAGGTGTTTGTTCCAGCCACTTGGGTAAGAACCAGACCTGGTTGACCAACAATTTGGCATGTCTGTAAAATAGGTGGTAACCCATTACTCCCCGTGGAAATGTGGGTAGGAATGACGGTTATGGTCTGAGGAACAGTATGTACTGTCCCATTGAACTGTTTTCTTCTTGCCTCCTCTACTTCTTCTGGAGTCCAACTAACACCATGTTTTAGACGTTGGGCTGAAAACCATATCTTTATCTGTTCCTCTGTGTATTTTGCTTGAGCAGAAAGAACTGTGATTTCCGACATTGTTGGATAAGGGAATTTGTTGTAGGTGTTAAGTAAAAGGGGGTTGTTATCTAATGCAGCATTATAGGCAGGAATGCTATTGACAGGGATTAAGACTTTGGGAATTAAGTTAGAATTCTGCTGAGCTGATACTGCAGTTATCACATGTGCTAGTCCAGGAAGGACTGCGGGGGTCACTACTGTACTGGCAGTATTTGGATGTATTCTGTTTACCAAGGAAGTACTTGTATTAGATTCTGAAGCTGAAGAACTTGCACTTTCTACGTTTTCTTCACGGTCTGGTTTGATCTCATTATCTTTCTTTTCAGGAACATCCTCAGCTGAGTTATGATGGACTGTAATCCGTTTGTTTTCTACTTTATTTTTCATCATTTTCATGATAGGAGTTTTACTGATAGAGATTCCTGAAGAAGAAACTTCTACGGATTCTGTTTGTTCTGCATTCTCCTCTTTAACAAAACTACCATCAAAAGTCAGATCATTTATTGTTTGTTCAAAGATTGTCTGGTTATTACGTTTCACCATAGTCAACTTGAAATTCTCTTCTCCTGGGTGATATTTCAGATTATGCTCAGAAAGTGCATCATACCTTTTGGTAAGAAAATTGCATTCAACACAAACATAAGATGAATTTAGCACTACATTGGGATGTTCTGAATCCACATGGAAAGTAAACATATTTAGATCTGGAGTTTGAAAAGTACAATATTTACATTCATAACCACCTTCAACTTTTTTACTTTGCTGATTGTCAGAATCCACAGATTCCTGAACTTCCTCGTCACTTGAGATGCTTGCTGCTCTGGAGTTCTCCACAGGTGGAAGGACAGGAGGACCTTCATCCAAATCTGACACCAACTCAAGGTCTGGATCCTGTTCACTGGCAAGGACCATGCAAGGTATTGTTGATTTTCGCCTACTTGCCATTCTGATGTTAGGGTAAATTTCAGTGGTGACTAAAAAGCACTGAGGCTTAAAATTGTTCAGGATTCTTCATTTGGAAACAATGGCTTTTGGTTCTTCAAGTCCATTTTTGTGCTCAACAAGTCTCATTAGCAGCTTTTTCATGGTGCAATCAAGTAAAGAGCTTATTGTTGGCAGCTAAAATACTGCTGAACTGCTGAAAGTTTTGAAGCACACCTCCAATCACCTACATTAAAATAAATTTAAAATGAGTGACTATGACCTTTTAAGCAAATTACAGTTATATTCCACTTATATTAAGTTACTAGGTATCTCAGGTATAAAGATCTGGAAAAAGACAAGAGCAGAAGAAAGTCGTCTACAAACCAAAATGTGTTTCCAGACAACTCACTGAAGGCCATAGACTGCACTCATAGGTCAGACCCAAACTTGGTCATTTGCCTCTTTTAACCAGCTAGATATTAGGAAAAAAGGAAGAAAGGGCTTCTTTTAGCAAGCACACTATTATCAGTGTGAAATGATAATCTCTTAACAAGGGAGGAACTTTAAAACTAGAGAAAGCAGTGACAGATATTAAAGAACAATAGCCATTACAAGCGTAAGCAATTCAGTGCGTCAGCTACATCCTCCCCTTCCTACAGGTCTGTTTTATTATCTTCAAAAGCAAGCTCAAAGGTGGCAAAAACAGAAAAGATGGAAGATGATAACCTCAGATTTAGAACCATTATTCTTTATCATTCTGTATAATGCTACCAGATTTATAAGATATATCTAATCACATCAGTCTATTAACATGGATCCCCGATGCTGAAAAACTAAGTTCAAGTTCCTTAAGGCATATATAAATCCCTTCACTATCTGGGCCCAGTCTCACTTCCTATTCTATCTCTTGCCATCTTTCTTCTTCCTCATATTTCCTCACACCTTCCACACACAGGAAATGATTGCCACTCCAAGGATTTTCAGTGCACTTTCAGACTTTGCTCAGGCCTTTCCTGATTCTAGGATATTTCTTTGTGCCCTAATGTGTTAATCTATCTCTCTGCCTTATAGATCACCATTCTCTTAAACTGGCTCTCATATCCTCTACTGTACTTTCATCTAGCACTTACATTGTAGCAGCAGTGTGACATTTCTGTTCCCACTACTTTATCTGTATCTGTAGTCTCTTTATGACAGATACTGCGGTCTATTCGTGTGTGCGTGCATGTGTGTGTGCATGCATGCGTGGGTGCATTTTGAGGCAGGGTCTTGCTTTGAGGCCCAGGCTGGCCTCAAACTCGTGGCAATCCTCCTGCGTCAGCCTCCCGAGTGCTGGGATTACAGGCATGCACCACCATACCTGGCAATTCTTTTTTGTTTTTTTGTAACAGCTTTACTGCAGTGGTCACACAAAGGACCTTTATGTCTTCAGTCTAACGCTGTCCCAGCTGAGATGTTTTGACTGACATCTCATTCATGTCTGCATCTCCAGTGCATACAGGACATCTATAATAGGGCTGAGGATGTAGCTCAGTGCCATACCGTCTGCCTGGCAAGCTCGAGGTCCTCAGTTCGATCCTCAATACCAAAAAAAGAAAAAAGAAAAAGAAATCTATACTCAAGCACAGAATCACTAAATGTTTATTAAATTGAACATGAATAGGAAAATGGTCCCACAAAACTCAAATGAGCCTGAGGACATGCCATAGATCCGAACAGCTGCAATTCACAGTAATACCCTTAAATCATCAAGGAAATGTGAATTAAACTCACACAAATACATCTTAATAAATTTGGCAATCAAAATATTTAAAATAAATTAGATGCTAAATCAGTTAAGGCTTATGTTTCTGAAGTGTAAACCAAATGAAAGAGAATGAAACGAGTAAGTGGTCTCATTTATTTGCCAGCACAATTTATTACCAGCATTATCCCTGTCATAGCCGAGTAAGGCAATAGGATTTTAAAGCAAACTCGTCCATGTGAGAAGACACATTGACTCAGTACAGGGGAGACATTTTCGGGAAGTAGCCTTTGAAGGCGGCTAAGATCCCCCCTAGAATTGCTCAGATACAGACTATTCATCCATCAGAGCTCAGCAGAAGAGGGAAAGCCAAACTACATGTCCCTGTTCTGGATTTCCCAAATTACAAAACAAAGAGCATTAGCTCAGTTTTTGTTTTTTTTGGTACCAGGGATTGAACTCAGGTCCTTGAGCTTGAGAGGCAGGCGACAGAACCACTGGGCTAAATCCCCGGCCCTAACTCAGTAATGCTATGGTACATATATTCTGAATCCCTAACATTAAAGATGTCATTTTTTCTATAAAAATCTTTTGATTTCTAAGAAATTATAAACCAATCACTGAAATTTAAAACTATTTTTTTCTTCTTTCTTTCATTTCTTTTCCAGTACTGGAGCTTGAACCCTGTGCCTACACATTGAGCTATACCTACAACCCATTCATTCATCTGGGACTGGGTCTCACTACGCAGCTAAGTTACTCAGGCTGAACTTGAACTTTCGATCCTCCTGGTTCAGCTTCCCAGAGTGCTAAGATTACAAGATGCACCACTGTGCTCAATTTAAAACTTTTTTAATTAAATGTTATAAACCAAAGTCATCTTCTAATCAAATAGAGGCCATCACTATTTTTTTCAAGTATCAACACAGCTTTCTGATCATTACTTGTTATTAGAAATGGAATCCCCAGGGCTGGGATTTAGCTCAGTGGTTCAGCCGCCTGCCTTGAAAGTGCAAGGTCCCGAGTTTGATCCCCAGTGCCATAAAAAAGAAATGGAATTCCCAGGGTCTGGGGGTATAGCTCAGTGACAAAAATGAGACTATGGGTTCCATCTCCAATATGACAAAAATGAAAGAAAAGAAAAGGAACAAAGAAATGAGGAGTTCTACAAAATAGCTCTAAAAAAGTAGAAAAGTAATAAATGAGCAGCATTCACTATATGGACTGTAAAAAAAAAAAACTTGAGGGGCCAGAGAATAGTCAGAGAGACACATTTGGTCAGTGTACCAATAGCTAGAAGTTAAAAAGAAAGATTTTTTTTTCTGAAACTACCTGAAAGTGATAGTTTTCAAATTTTTGTTTTATGTAGGGGAGCTCTTTCTTCAAAAGAAAATACTATGAGAAATCCAGTGCAAAAGAGATAAAGGAGTCACTATGTGGTAGGAGGAAGTAGAAGCTAAACAACTTTCTGACTGAGGCCCATGGATCCCACAACCTCTACCTCTCAGGGGTTCCAAGATGTGTTTGAAGACTTTACCTTAAAAACTTAAAGACGATCAAGGCAATGTTTCAGCTTTACCTAGTTATTCTCATTGTGCCTCTACTATACATGGAATTTGAAAACTAACTTAGAGTGAAGTGCTGTGCCTTTTCAGTTTGCTTCCCTGGAGCTATCGAGGGAAGCCAGGCCAGGGTATCAAGGGAAGAACAAGTAGCCAGCGGAATAATAAAGTTACAGAAGAGGAACTCAACACCCAGATCCTTTTGTTATTTTGGCTCTCCAGCTCTCCAGGTGGAACTTCTTTTATTTATTTTTTTTTAAATCTCACCCAGTAGCCTGGTGTGGTAGCGCACGCCTATAGTCCCAGCACTTGGGAGGCTGAGGCAGGAGGATTGCTGTGAGTTCAAGGCTAGCCTGGGCTACACAGTGAGTTCAAGGCCAGCCTGACCTACATAGTGAGACCCCATTGCAAAACAAAACAAAAAAATCTTACCTAGCATATAAACAAATATGCTACCAAATTATTATTTTCCGGCCGGGGATTTAGCTCAGTGGTTCCACCGCTTGCCAGACCCGAGTTCGATCCCCAGTACCAAAAAAAAAAAAAAAAAAAAAATTATTATTTTTCTACTAGCTCATTAATCAGATTGATCAGGCCAGGCATGGTGGCGCATGCCTGTAGTCCCAGCATTTGTGAGGCTGAGGCAGGAGGATACCTGTGAGTTGGAGGCCAGCCCAAGCTACACAGTGAGTTCAAAGCCAGCCTGAACTACATAGCAAGACCTGTCTCAAAAAACCAAAAAAAAAAAAAATCGGTTAGTAAGAAATTAAGTGGATTTAAAGAAATTTTAAAAGCTTAAATTTTATCTACAGTCATGAAAAGTATGAAATACTCATACACTATATTACAATTCAGTAATGTATACCGAAAATTGTGGGGGTTTTCCTCTGAAAACACTGGCCTAGGCAAAATACTTAAATAGTTACTTAAAAGAGAGTCTTGATTTATACAAAAGCCTAAAAACTGATAACCTTGGATGTTTAAGATTACCTCAACTTCCAGTTACTTCTATATGCAACCACACAGACCTGAGGAATACTTTTCTTTTTCCTTCTAAAACTGTTTGTTCACTAAAAGCTATCTTCAGGTTCTCCACAATTTCACTGACAAAAACAGTGTATTATTTAACATATTTCTAAAGGAAGTAAGAAGATTCTTAAAAGAACAGCAAAATGGTTCAATATAGTCTAAAAATAAACCAATGAGCAAAAAAGCTTATCTTTCCGGTTATTATAAAGTCAAACATAATTTTGAAGGAAAGCAAGGCCCTTAGTACAGCTGACTCGTTTTACGGAAGAAGAAACCCAGGCCCAGAGTAATTCATTCATAGAGGCATTATGGTATAGGGTGAGACCACAGATTTTGGAGGTCCTTTTGTCACTCAGTAGTTAGATATCTAGAAAAGCTACTCAATTTCAATCTCAGTTTTCTCACCTATAAAACCAAGTTTCTTCAACAATTTGTTGAATGTCAGCCATGTGCCAGGCACTATGCTAGGCACTAGGATGCAGAGATGACCACACAGACCTCTGCTGTCAGGCACAAGCTGTCAATGATAGCACACTGCAATCAGTGCAGTGAGAGAAGCACCAGGGCTGTAAGAGCACACTGCAGAAGGCTTCTAGAAGCGAAGCACAGGAGTGCAGGGGCTCCACTGTGGAGGCTGAACAAGTAGAGGCCTCTGTGCCCAGGGTGATATGCAGTAAGTGCCTAGTGAAGCTATTTTTCAGTACCTGAATAACGCTTTTGGGAGAATAAGAAATACCAGCTATTTAAAACGTTCTCACTCTCTCCAAACTCACTCAACTGACAAGGCACACAAATTGAATGAAAAAACAGGCATTAAAAATACAAAATTTCTTTTTTTTTTTGGTACTGGGGATCAAACTTGGGTCCTTGCGCTTGTGCAGCAGGCGGTGAAACCACTGAACTAAATCC